TATTGAGATCAACTACAAATTTGGAAATTTCCATGTGAATTTATATTTAGAACCACCGTTACGCCACGATTATCAAGAATATAAAAATCTTCCTTCATTCCCAAAGGTGAAATCATTCTCGAAACATTCGTCAAATTTAAAACCGAATTTTCTCACCCGATAAAAAAGAAACAGATACAGAAAAACACGATTGTTCCTGATACGCGACGCACGATAAACCTGCGAATTTCCATATTCAACCTCTTGTATTCCCTTTTACCCCTGTTCAAAGCGCGGAAATGAGAGAATCGTACGCGTCAACCCCATACCATAGCGCTACTATTTAAAGCGAGCCGCAACGCGACGCTAAAACACGATCGAATCGGGGTCTATCGGTGTCGCGTGGCGCGAATCCGGGAACCGGTGGCCGAGTTCGCGCGATTCCTGGCCACGGCGTCATTTTCACCCAGCAATTAGATCAGGCGATAACGAATGGGAAGCGACGTTCGAGAGGTCGAGGACCGTGACACGGGAATCGTCGATCGGCGTTGGTCGCTTTTGAAAATCGAATTCGGGGCCCCGTGTTGACGCGTGTGTACAGGGCACGTCGATAATCACTCGGAAATCGAGGAAGAAAATGAATCGAAACGCGTTCTAACCACACCACGTAAACGCCTCGTTTCGTACCCTTCTACATTATTTTCGATTTTAGGTGACTCGAATTCCGGCTGACCGGTTTCGAAATCGGTGCCGCGTTCGCTTGCCGCAACGATCGCTGCGGTGATTTCGTCGCGTATCGCGGAATATACGATTACAGGAGAGAATCAATGGCCGCGGTGGCAAGTTTGCATCCAGGCCGGCTTATTTGGCCGATTACCAATCCTCGTTCGACGATATATTCGAATTGCAACGGATTTAGACTGCTACGTCGAAAATTAGACAGAGAACATATTTTTCTTTTTCGTCACGATGTTCGTCTTTTATGGGTGGTTAAGAAATGGTATTATAAGAAATTCGAAGAATCGGTCGTACTTGATATATTCGCTATTCGCGTCTTTAATCTGCATTTACGGTAAGTACTATGAAACGAGAATGAGTCAGAGAATGTACCACCAATTGCTTTTTTATCGATCGATTGTCTTCTTTTGAACGAAACTGTCTAGTTAAAGAGGAGACCAATCGAAAGTGAAACGATAATATCGTGTTATCTAACTCTCGTTCTTTTTGAAACTTTCATAACTATACCTTTTCATCTTGCCTGGAAATAAGACAATAAAACAAATTTATATAACGTTATAATGAAGAAATAGCACAGAGACAATATTTGATGTTGCAGCTATGCACAATAAACGTATAAATAATTAAGTATAATGAATGCGACAATGAACGTGTGAATGGTCTTATTCGAATGGTGTAATTATGACTGACAAAATGAGAATGAATTTGCATTATTGGTTCCTGAACCTGGTTGATAGCCGAGTCACGAATTGATTGCGACCAGTGTGAAATTAAAAAACTTCCGACTCGTCGAGGTCGGAGAAGAAGATTCACGGAGTTTACACGTTATATGGCTCTATATCATAACTGTAAACATAGGCGGAGATTATTATTTATTGCAACGATGCAGCCACGCCATCCAGACTGCAGAATCCGTGCTCCACCTACGAGACTTCCAGAGAAGACACTTGTCAAATTTACTAACCATCTTCCATCTGCACTTACATGTGAAGTTTCAACATGTAAAACTGAAAAAAGATGCGCCCTCGACGCTGCAACCACGAAAGTCGTGATTTTTATTGTTCTTGCTCTTTTCTACCGCATTATTTTAGTATTTCTGGTCCTAGAACTTTGATGTTTTATATTTCGAGAATATATTTATATGCATAAAATTTCTTAAACAATCTATGAATAAAATGTATGAAGAAAAGAAACATTTTATTCATATTATTTAGGTAATTAAGAAAATTCTGTTTTCTCCTTTAAAATAGAAAAGAATGATACCAAGAAAAGAAGGAAAGCGTAATTTTATTTAATTAGAAAAAATAAATATCAAGGAATAAACTAAGGGAAATCGAAATGGTCGGTAAGAAAATTCTAGGTGCAGTGAAAGTTTCTGCGATTCAAGTACTAAGCCACGATCATCTTTTTATAAAAATAAACCGATACGAGTACAGAATAGGAAACACTTATCTCGCAACTTCGAGGCAGTTACAAAGTCTCGATGCCATCAGTTGGCCAACTTCTCCTCTTTTTATATTTGGTTGCCTTTTCTACTTTTTTTATTGTTCTCCCAAGTGGATCGTCGTGACGTAAAGTTCGTCTTGTGATGTTCCGGCTCCAGAAAAGGAGTTTGCGAGACATTAAATATACTCGTCCGCGAAAGTGCACGCTCGAGAAGGGCGACGATTTATGATCCGTCGCCGCGGATGCGGCACACCGGAAGGAAAAACGTATTCTCTCTCTATTCGCCGGTTCCGAGCGTGTTTTCTTTTGCTCGTATCGCGCCACGAGAAAGGGACCACAAGGATCGATCCATCCTTCGCGCGGGACGAATTACCTGCCAACGCGCCACCGAAACAGATATTCGCCTCTGAAAAAGAAACATTTCAGCCGTCTCGCGTCGACGTTCTTAAACGTTTCTACCGAACGAGCCCACCTGCTGCTCGATACTCGAGATGCTCAATCGCGAGCCGCGAACTTACGACGACCCTCACACTGAATCAAATCACGATGTTGGATTAAATTACAGGATTTTGATACTTGTTTTCTTATTTTTGCTTTTATAAGTGAAGACAATTTATAATTTTTACCCTTTTAATCTTCTTCAGTTTATTGTTTCATAGCGTTTATAATTTATGATTTTGAATTTCTAGCATTTTCTAGCATGACGAAACAATAAAAACGAATAATGACAATAATGAGAAAATGTCTTCAATTTCACGAAAAAAGATGGAGATAGTACAAGAACGATGTTACAAGATAGCAGCCTCTTTCAGTTTGAAAATGGTAAATAAGGAGGATAAAATATTCATAGAATTCGACAAATAATATCTAGACTACAGAAAGAAATTTTCGACAGAAAAATCGCTAGATACGGTCGTGGAAAGATTCGCAAGACTCATCTCTGCTGGATTACCAAATTTATGCGAATACGTGATACAAGAGCCAAACGAGACGATAGAAACGCAAGCAGTCTTGCTGTTCGTCTGGTAGACTTTACGGCATCTCGCGAAGGAGGCTTAATTTATCACCGTCGAATCATTTATCATCGAAAACGCCAAAGTTCTCTCTCTCTCTCTCTCTTTCTCTCCCTCCTCGTTTCCCTTCCAACCTCCATACACCTCCGTGGAAACTTTCGGCTGGCTGCTTACCCTGGTTGTGTGTTTCTCTTGCAGGGACTCAATTCAGGAACGCTGGCACGTGACGAGAAACAATGAGGCGAACAATGAGTCGGGTCGACAATGCTGTCCTCAAAATCTCTCGGCGCCGCTTGCCAAAATCCTTCGGGGCTTTCTTGCAGCAGAACAGAACCGCGTCGTCTATTCGTCCTCGTAATACCGCCATGTGTCTGACGACTATATCCGACGTAACTTGACGCAGGCTGGTGCATTCCTGACGTAAACCACGAATTCGTCGGCGACTGTTTTTCTTTATTTTTTACAGAGAAAGAAAGCTTCTTTGAATTTTCCAAATTACCATCGACTGTGCGTGTGTGACGCATGCTGTAAGTCTTTTTATGCGATGAGAGTTTCTTTGAATTTTCGTCGATTCTCTGTGCGCGACGCACCCTTCTTTATCTTTTCATACAGAGAAAGCTTCTCAGAATTTTTCTTTTTTCTTTTTTTCCTTTCTTTTTTTGCGAATCTGTCACCGACTGCGCGTGCGCGACGCATTCTTTAAATCTTTTTATACAAAGAAAGTTCATTTGAATTTTGTTTCTTTCTTTTACTTGTTGCAGAAATTGTATATTTTATCTGAATATATATTTTCTACTTCTTTATGTTATTTATAATAATCGCTGTTTCCATTGGAGGTAGGATAGGTATTTTTTGAAAAAGTTTCTCTGATTATTTCGTAATCGTGTTTTTCTTAATGAGAAATAAAAGATAATGGTATTCTGCGACTCGTTATAACGCAAGGTTTCTATGTTACGTAAAATTGCATACGTTCTATTCATACGCGGTCTCGTAATGAAATTTCTTCTGGATAAAGATGAAAAAGTTTAGATAGAGAGTCAGAAACGTAGGTACGTCTCCATGGAACCACGAAGAATGTCCCCGAGGCGTATTACGAGATAGCAGAATATTACCGTGATACTCTTCGACATTTTCTGTAAATATGACTCCGCGATAACGTCGCCATTCGTCCCTAATGTACACGAAACCACTCGTCTCCTTTCAAATCTGAATTTTTAATACAAATGTCTTTCCCATTACCTTCCCACTTTCCTCAACTTGCTTCATTAATCTTCCAATCTTAGTACCAATAATCAAATCCTATACAAAATTAAAAAATAAACTCTGCGGAATTTTCCAACACTCTTACTCAATAACTACAATTCAATTATTACTGTTCGATTGTTATTGTTGCAAATGATAGAATTAAGTAACATAATCTTAAAGTTAAATTATTCAAATTCTGTAGCACTTCATTTTAATTCATATTCTGTATTTTATTTCACAAATATCATGTTGTTACCATACTTTTCGACGAGTAATTTAACATTGTAATCTGATGATTCCATAAAAAGGTAATAAGTGTCGCTTCTAATGATTAATTTCTCATTCGCTTGTACACATTGACAAAAATCAAATACGATTACCACGAATCAATCAAAGCATCTGGATAGTTGTGACTGACAGTACACTTGGAAATGAAGAAGATTCAGTCGAGAAGAATCCACAATTCATATAATTCGGATCTTTTCCTATACGTAGACATCATCTGTTCGATATTTAATGGAGATACGAGATGGTAATTTGCAGCACACACCTATGTGTGTATACACGTAGCTTGCTTAACGAGTAACTACCTCGAGATCGCGTAGCGCGAAATTAGACGACATCGCACCACGACACGTCTCTAATGTCGGCCACGTTTCTTGCGCCGGAAGGACGGTGTCGTTGCCTCCGTTGTTTCGTGCTTGACGCGTAACGACACGCACCAGACACAACCCTCGTGTTATGCAAAGGAAAATGAAGTCACAACAGGGCGGAATCCTCGAGGGAACAGACAACAGCTGATCGAGGATAAAGAAGCTGCTGTCCAGACAGGAAATGGATGAAATTTAAAATGTTTTTTGATTTGATGGAAACTGGAGCCTGCAGGTTTGCGATATACATAATTCTGTCATTTGTGTAATTCTCTCTAGAGAAAGAATTTTTGTTATATTAGGTTGTCCGAAAAGTTTCTTTCGTTTTATAAGGAAATAATAAACGCACAATGTTTCTTGTTTTATATTAGTTTATTGAATTATGCACGAACATAATAATAGAAATAGAACGAAATCATACCTAATTCAATAAAATAATATAAAACAGAAATTGTTGTTCATATATCATCTTATGAGAAACGAGAGAAACTTTTCGGACAACCTAATAGATACAGTTGAAAATCTTATTTCAGTTGAAAGTTGGGAAACTTGAGATTAATGGAATTAAAAGGACTGTTTAATGTAATTAGTTGAAATCTGAAATTTTGGTGACTGTCAAATTCTTAATGGGTTTTAAATACAAAATTAGACATTTGGTTTCTCATTCGATTTTCAAAGCTGAAACTTCGCTTCAACGTTCAACGATCTATTTTGCCTTCGGAGAATTCATAAATCATATCAAACATCATTCGAAAAAATACATATTTAAATATTCTTAAATCACGATCGAGCAAGAATAGAGAATTAATCCCCGAAAATTTTTTAATTCCATGAGAACTCTCAGACCAGAAGATCGAATAAAACATAGTGGCATTAAAAATCCTTGAATCAGTTTTCTAGATAGACTTAAAATTCATAAATTCATAAGAAGTCGGATATCATGCGGTCCGTAAACTCTATCGATTTGGTTGTAATTGAAAGTTGCAGCCCTAAAAAGGGACGGTAAGTGAAACGACGCGCAAAATGAATTTTCCAACTTTTAGACGGTTAGGAGAGGAAAAGCAGGGTTATATCGATTGCATTAATTAGCAGGGGTTCTCTTTCTCTGTTAGAAAATGCACGGCCATTGATTATTCATCGCTTCCCTCGATCGAAAGCGTTGCTTCCGGGAAAAATTTTTGCAAATTATATTTAATTTAACGTTGTCGATGTTAATTATTAGAACTCGAAGAGAAATTCTGGCAATCTTGGGTTGTACAGCAGGCAGGAAGCCATGGCTGCGTTTAAATTAGACATAAACAAGAGCAGAAAAGCCATTTCGAGAGGCAACTCACAGGAGACTTCATATTGTGTGAGCAAACAATTTGTGTTCCCTGTGTTTGACTGACAGTCTAAATTGGAACTAAAATGTTGGCTGCTCAAGGCTATTAAACCTCCTCATTTGGCTTTGTGTACAATTTCCTTTCCCCATAGTGTCAAAATATGAACGTAGAATTGTAACTACTTCTTGTGATTATGGACAAAAGAAAAATTTCCACACACAAAATCAAAGAAGAAGAAAGTAAAATTCGATTTCCAGGATACAAAATACACACAAAGAGAACAAAGATCTAAAAAATATTTCAAAAAAGCGTACTCTGGAAAGTCAGGTTTTATTCCACATAAATTATAGCTCGTAGATCTTTACAAGTAAAATTAAAAAAATGGTCTCTCAATTTTTTCGGTGCTAATTATGCATGCACGTATGTCACATTCGTACAGGTTAATGCGTTGGTGGCTAGATCAATGCGTGAAAAGTGAAAAAACGGATTTAGAAAGTTCACGCACGGAAATCGTAGCAGAGGGACTTACATAAAGGCAAAGTGGCGCCTCGGCGAACGTAAGACGACGAAGGAGGAAGCCCTTGCTCAAACGTAGACAAACAGTCAAGAGAAACACGACTATGACCGTTAATGGAGGTGCAGTGTTTACTGGACTCACCGACAATAAGTCCTCTTGCGAATCCCGTTGTCATAATCACCGCTATTTGCTTGATTAGCAACGGTAATTGCGTTTTATGTGTACACAAGCTAACGTGCTAAATAGTTACGTAAATTTATATCGTCAACAGCACTCGAAATTTCACTACTTCCTAAAACATTAATCTCCTAAAAACATATTAGCTAATCGGCTAGAAACCAATTAGAATAAGACTGCGGTGCACAATTTATGAGATATTTGGCAGACGAAAACGAATTTACGTCGCAAACTAATAAAGTTAGTTGCCGATTGCTCGCGTTAACGAAGATATTACATACATTATCCTCCCAAGAGAATGTTCAAAAATCCATTTTATTCAACCCATTATTTATTTGCATATCCGAACAATTTAAATCGGATACTTAAATAATTCCTCGGGAAGTAGATACCGTTTTTCGATCATTTCATTAATTGAAATCTTCCCCTACTTTAATAAAATTGAAGTATAAATAGGTATTCTTTCGCCACTTGACTTCTGCTCGCCAAATCGTTCGCTCTCGCTCACCCTGAAGAAGCTCCTTTGGTGTCAATATAATTGACGAACAAATGATTGGATGACTGATGTCATCAGATGAGAGAGTGGTGCTCTCCTTTTCCTTCTATGTTCTTGTTCGTTTGACCTAAAGGCACGCTCAGAATTCCGTGAGTCTCTCGACAAGGATTTGAACATATGTATAGGTACACTACTTAAGAAACGAACGAGACAGCATGGAAACTGTCACACGCTGAGAAGCAGTAATAGGGTAGACAAAACATCCTGCATGCCACAGCCATCGAAACAATAACCAGATAGTAACAGAATAGCCGTGTCTGATATACATCCGATGATAACCCCTCCAGAGGGATCAAACCTTAGTATACCAAATCAGCACTCAACACCTTTTTTGTTATAACATTCTGAACCGTCACTCTGTTTTGAATTCGTACAATAAATTTTACTATCATATTTAAAGTTCAATTTTTTACCTCATTGGTGAAACATTCGAGATCAACGGTAATCTGTCAATTTCGTGATTTCTTGTGTCTCGTACATGACAAAACCAACGTCAGCCCCACGAATCATCAGACTCGCCAAGGGATCATGACTACCCGAAGCGAAGAAATCGGCGGATAAAATCACGCGATAGGGTAATAGGGATAGGGTAATCAAAATTCGATCGTTTCTGGAACGAGCCGGGTGCAGCAGCTTCCGGGAACGTGTGGGCGTTCACTCTGGATTCGCTGGTCTACTGGAATTGATCCACCTCAGGATTATAGGGAACCTGGCTGGGTCGTTAACACGAGCCCTTTACCAACATCTCCTCCCACGATCCTAACATACAATGCAGGCTACCTTGGCGGTAGTGGCGCGGCCGCGATCGTTTTATTAGAAACGCCACGTCAGCTTCCGTGGTAACGGAGACACCTCGGCAATAACGCCGACAGCTCGTTACAACGTTGATAAAGCGCCGCGTGGCGGCTAAGCCTCTACGACGCTACGACGACGACGACGACGACGACGACGACGACGACGACGACGACGACGACGACGACGACGACGACGACGACGACGACGACGACGACGACGACGACGACGACGACGACGACGACGACGACGACGACGACGACGACGACGACGACGACGACGACGACGACGACGACGACGACGACGACGACGACGACGACGACGACGACGACGACGACGACGACGACGACGACGACGACGACGACGACGACGACGACGACGACGACGACGACGACGACGACGACGACGACGACGACGACGACGACGACGACGACGACGACGACGACGACGACGACGACGACGACGACGACGACGACGACGACGACGACGACGACGACGACGACGACGACGACGACGACGACGACGACGACAACGACGACGACGACGACGACGACGACGACGACGACGACGACGAAGACGGCGACAAAGACGACAACACACGACGATCTAGCTGTGAAAACTTTGTCCCTGTTACACTGCCGATCCCTCAAGCTGAGCCACATCCAGCTACAACTTTCACAGCCCTCGTAACATTGTAGGTATACCGCCGCTAATCGATGTTATGGACACCGATCAAATTTAGTGCGATTAAATTTAACACGAAAGCATTGCGATCGCTCGCCTTCCTCTGTGTACCATCGATTAGAGTAGGTGAAATGATCCGATTTCATAGTGTACGGAGTTAGGATTTGATCACTCTCCACGGCTATTTTTCAAAGGTTCTTCGGCGAGAGAGAAAGCGGGACAGGTTCGAGATAAAATATAAAAAATTCACGAATGAAATATAAAATTTTTACTTATCCCTACATCGTTAGAATTAACTAGTAAGGTAGAAACATATAACGAATCTTTTCAGATTTTTCATTTTCTTAATTATTGAAAATACGCGGACGTGTTTGGTAAAATTGTTGTGTGCATATTTCTTTTCGTTACATGATTTTAATTATAATTATTAATGCGTAGCATATTTATCAGAAGCTCTGGCAATGCATATCTGTAATATGTACACACTGCTTGACCTTCCTCTTTTTTGCTCATTTGCATTTCATGCAATAAAAGGAAGTAAGAGTCGCAATTGCATATTCAAAGTAGGGCACGTAATTACACCGATTCGACGGAAATACGAATATTGAACTGGCGAATCAGCACGATCTCACTTTTAGAACGTACCGATGCAAGTTCTGCGAGCACATTTCTGCCAAACATTTGCACGAGCACTGCCTCTGCGAGGACATCAAATATTTGACATTCGGATCTACATATATACAATCTGCCACCCAGCTGTACGATCGTTATGTACGTCGTTCTATAGTCATTAATAAACAGGGGATAGAAACTTTTATCCGACCCATCTAACGTTAACGATTAATCTTTCCCTAAGGCTTTCACCTACCAAGACACACACTTTACGAAACCGTTCCCTTTAAACATTTACAACCCTCTCATCGTTCAAAACGTTGCTCTCCAGTCTCCTCCGGTGGTTGCATTAAAAAATTATCGCAAAAAAAATGCCGTGACATCGTAACTCTGCCTCTCGAGCCATTTAAAGCGGATATTCTGGCGAAAAAAAGAGGAAGAGAGGAAAGAGCAGAGGAGAAAAAAGGAAAAAAATTATACGGGAAAGTCGCGTGCGCCCAGGCCACGAGTATTACGTTAAAGTCGCTTCTTATGTCTAAAGCCTTTTTCATGGCCAATGCATGACCCTTGGAAGAGAAGTCTCTATAAGGGTACGTGGCACGCGATCCATCTTTCATGAAACGCATACCGCGGCGTGCAAACCGTCGCGCCGCAGCAATAACGACGGCTTAGAAGCATAAAGTCCGCTATCTCTCTCTCTCTCTCTCTCTCTCTCTCTCTCTCTCTCTCTCTCTCTCTCTCTCTCTCTCTCTCTCTCTCTCTCTCTCTCTCTCTCTCTCTCTCTCTCTCTCTCTCTCTCTCTCTCTCTCTCTCTCTCTCTCTCTCTCTCTCTCTCTCTCTCTCTCTCTCTCTCTCTCTCTCTCTCTCTCTCTCTCTCTCTCTCTCTCTCTCTCTCTCTCTCTCTCTCTCTCTCTCTCTCTCTCTCTCTCTCTCTCTCTCTCTCTCTCTCTCTCTCTCTCTCTCTCTCTCTCTCTCTCTCTCTCTCTCTCTCTCTCTCTCTCTCTCTCTCTCTCTCTCTCTCTCTCTCTCTCTCTCTCTCTCTCTCTCTCTCTCTCTCTCTCTCTCTCTCTCTCTCTCTCTCTCTCTCTCTCTCTCTCTCTCTCTCTCTCTCTCTCTCTCTCTCTCTCTCTCTCTCTCTCTCTCTCTCTCTCTCTCTCTCTCTCTCTCTCTCTCTCTCTCTCTCTCTCTCTCTCTCTCTCTCTCTCTCTCTCTCTCTCTCTCTCTCTCTCTCTCTCTCTCTCTCTCTCTCTCTCTCTCTCTCTCTCTCTCTCTCTCTCTCTCTCTCTCTCTCTCTCTCTCTCTCTCTCTCTCTTACTCGCTTTAGGCTGAGAAACGGCCAGCAAACGGGGCTGAAGGGGATCCTTACTGCCGCCGAGGTTCCCGAATTCCCGCGAGATTGAACCCAAGGTCGACTGCTTTCGAGCTATACTACCGGGAACACGAACGTGCCGCTAATATTGCATGGGAACCGCACCTATACACCCATCCAAATAACTTCCTCGTACTTCCACTTTTATATTTTCTACTGGAATTACGTGTTCCTGAAAGATACATGGACGATTGTACGAGACAAAGAGTAAGACAATCCTTTTACCAGATATATTCTGTTGAAGGATGGTTTCGTGTTGTTTGTCGTAGGATTAACGCGTTAGTTTTACAATTAGCTAGTTTTGAAGGTAACTTGCGTGGTAAGAATTAAGAAAATTACGAGAAAATTTAATAACTATGAAGAGTTAGAAAGTAAAAAGGTAGAATAAGTATGGAGAAGTTGAGTCTAGTTGGTAGTAGTTGACACTAGCCGCCACCGTCATAGCGCTAATCTCGTTCAGATTAATCGATCTAGTCGAATTTCGCAAACCCGAGTTCGAGTCTTTGATTATACACGACAAGTTACATGGCTAGCAATTGCTTCAAAATAAATACCTAAAATACACGAAACTAGAATGATATGCATCGGTTACTTAGATATCAGTTGCTTAAATTAACTCGACCTTTTCCGAACTTTATGTTTAGTTACGCTTCGTATGCAGAATATTTTTAGTATGTTTAATTAAGTACTAGTACTTATTCCATTTGCTCAGAGATACTCTCTTCGAATCAAGTTATTTGAACATAAATAACTTCAATTTAGGTGAACGACAGAGATTGGCTGATATACTTGACTGAGATATTTCGAATTACATAGATTCAAATAATTTAAAGTCGCCTAATTTGACTTAAGACGAGCGTACAAATTTAAAGGAATATTTCAAGTCAAGTCAAATAAATTAATAAATCTAAACGAGACTCCTACATAGTATTAGTCTGCGATTGTGAAGTTAAGTAATTATTAAGTGCACAGGGCACATTCATAATGGCAATTTCGAATTTGAAAATTAGTTAGGATATGATCGGAGCAATTGGACGATATTGCAACCAAAGTTGATATATCTCGAACACGTCCTGTTAATTTTGAATACCAACTAAATTTTACATTAAATCTATTCGTGTTGAAAACAAATCATACATACACAGAGAGTATCGCGATTGTGACGATTATTATGGCGTTATTTGTACCATTTTTCCCGGTAATGTCTGGACGAAAGGAATCAATTGTGTTAATGTAAACCGGATGTTCCTAACGCCATTCAATTTACGCGACCCAACCGATTAAACGTAAATGAAGCCACTTTAATACTGTTACGCGGTCTGCGTATCCAGAATTCATTACAATTCAATTCGGGACCGGTGGCCACGTCGATGGAATTTCGAAATTTCATTGAAAAGTCAACCGCATTACGAGCTTTCTAAACGAATAGCGTTATGCGAGTGTATGCCGAGAACGATAATCGACAACGTTTGTCCGACCGCGATCAGTTAATACTAACCTGAACAGCCGTTTAGTAAAACATCGAAACCTCGATAGTAAAAGCGTTATCGATTTTAAAATAACGAACGAACGTGAATCAAAATACAACGGTTCCGATTCTCGTAGGGAATACATGGAATAGCTGGTCGGCTATTCTTTAAGCGTAAATAAAAACGACCGAGCGAATCGATATATTTCTGGATTTCATGAATCCGTTTCGTCGTATCTTTCGACGTTACCGATCGGCAAATCTGCGTGCGACGATTTGTCTCGCGACGTCAGTCGTCGATCTAACGCTGATCCAACGCGATCTAGAGAAAAAGCTTTTCTACGCGGGGGGAAAAAGCACCGGGAATGTGATTAATCGAACCGATGGAGCTCAGCGTT